GTTCAGTCATGTCCACTTGTTGTTTAAACATGGGAAAATGTGTTTTCAATGAGACTTGGCTTCATGTCAATTTTTACACTCAGTTGGAAGCGGTCCCCAGCAGTCATAGATTTCATTAAAATAATTTAGTGTTCTTGTATTAAAATTAAATATTCTTTAATAGCTAAATTGATAACAATAAAAGGTTTCAATGTTAAAATTTCTGTGACCTTTTGAATGTTTCTATTAATGCATCAGTTTGGTCTTAAATTTCATTCCAATGGTCTTAAAAGGTCTTAATTGTAACTTACTGAAAGCTGCATGAAGCCTGCTGTTACAGAAGCCGTTTCACTTCAGCTGCTCAGGATTGTCTAAAATATCTAATTTTTTTAATTTTTCGCCTCACCAGAATAAATATCTCAAACATCCAAACCTTACTGTGTTACAGAGGTTTATCCAGGACCCGTACGCCACCACGTTCGGTGGATTCTCCAAAGTCACTAATTTTTTCCGGGCGACTCTTCGGCCTCCAGAGACCCCCGTCCCGCGGGGCTCCCAGCCGTCGCAGTGCGACGACGAACCCGAGTTTGAACTCATCACCTGCGTAAGAAAAGAAAACAAAAAGACGACACAGATACAAACATGGAGCCACAGCTGAGCTTAGTATCGGTGATGGTTTTCTCCATCCAGGGTGTGGAGCTCGGTCCCAGGCCGGGGGTCACCAGGGGGAAACCTCTGGACAAATGGGAGGACTTCCTGGACTCCGAGGGCCGCGTGATGGACCAAGAGAAGATTAAAGAGCTGGTGTTCAGAGGGGTACGGAGAGGACCGGAACAACTTTAACTGCAACAAACCTCCTCTTTGTCTTTTTAACGAGGGGTTGATGTTTTGTTCCTGCAGGGCATCGTTCCATCTCTGAGGAAGGAGGTGTGGAAGTTTCTCCTGGGTTTTTACCCCTGGAACAGCACTGCAAAGGAAAGGGAGAGCATCCTTCAGGACAAAACGTTAGTGTTTTATGTTCCTGTGCACCTGATTCATGGAGCGATTTGAATTTTATTTCAGTTTTTCCACAAATGTTTTTATGGGATAAATCTTGTGCCAGCAGGAAYTGAATTTGAATTGCTCAGATTGAATCTGAATGTGCAGAATTTGAAACTGAATGCATTGGTTTGAAAATGAATTTTACTAAATTGAAACTGAATTTAAAGTTTTTAATTTGAATTTATTTGCTTTAAAACTGTATTTTGGTTTATTAAAATTTCCGTTTGACTGCTTTCACTTTCAGTTCTATAATTCAGATTTTTGTGTCACATCCTGGTCCTTGAGAAAGCCAGGCAGAGTAATCAAACACAGATCCACAGATTTATGTTTCACTTTGGTGAAGTTTCCCTTCTGTATGTAACAGAGTTGATGCAATCCACTGTAAAAGTGACAAAAACAGACAAAGTTATTTTATTGCAGTGATTAATTTGACCTGTATGTAGAAAATGTTACATTTACATCATGGATCACATATTGATCAGATGCTGCTGCTGACTGATCCATGATGTAAATGTAACATTTTCTACATACAGGTCAAATTAATCACTGCAATAAAATAACTTTGTCTGTTTTTGTCACTTTTACAGTGGATTGCATCAACTCTGTTACATACAGAAGGGAAACTTCACCAAAGTGAAACATAAATCTGTGGATCTGTGTTCGATTACTCTGCCTGGCTTTCTCAAGGACCAGGATGTGACACAAAAATCTGAATTATGGAACTGAAAGTGAAAGTAGTCAAACTGAATTTTTAATAAACCAAAATACAGTTTCAAAGCAAATTAATTCAGATGCAAAACTTTAAATTCAGTTAAAATTTAGTAAAATTCATTTTCAAACAAATTCATTCAATTTCAAATTATGAACATTCAGATTCAATCTGAGCAATTCAAATTCAGTTCCTGCTGGCACAAGACTGATGTCGTATGTTTTTACTAAAGAAGGTGGAACTGTCTGTCTGTCTGCAGGAACGAGTACTTCAGGATGAAGGTGCAGTGGAAGTCGGTCAGTGAAGAGCAGGAGATGMGGAACTCCCTCCTCAGAGGATACAGAAACCTGATTGGTCAGCTCAGATCAGGTGCTCACTGTTTTCAGTCGGCTCCGCAGCAGGTGCTGACGCTCCCGTGTTCTGTTGTGTCGTCACAGAGCGGGACGTGAACAGGACGGACCGACACAACACCTTCTTCTCTGGGAACGATAACCCAGGACTGGCCCTGCTTCACGACGTGCTCATGACCTACTGCATGTACAACTTTGATCTGGGTGTGTGTATATACAACTCTGTCCTGACGCTTAATRTAGCAAATGGCTAGCTAAATGCTAAAAATAAGATTAAAACACATTTAATTTCTATCACTAAACAGATGATAGAAGTTCATGAGGACACAAACACAAATCTTCTAGTTTGTCTTTTTGCAGGTTATGTTCAGGGGATGAGCGACCTCCTGGCTCCCATCCTGTTTGTTACTCAGAACGAGGTGGTGTCTTTCTGGTGTCTGACGGGCTTCATGGACCTGGTGGTTAGTAAAAAAAACAAAAAAACAACTTAGGCAGCAGTAAAGTAAAAACTGGGACTACAACGACACTAACAAGTCTTTTTTTAAATTTAGCACCAGAACTTTGAGGAGTCTCAGGAGGCCATGAAGAAGCAGCTCTATCAGCTCAGTGTCCTGCTGAAGGCTCTGGACCCGGAGCTGTTTGACTTCCTGGGTTAGTCCACTATAATTCATCCTCACTGCAAAAACTGTCCACCTAACCAAGTTTTAAAACCTTATATCAGCCTAAAAGTTTTTTTGATCTTGTTTTGAGACTGATTTACTA